CGAATGAGAGGAGTCGAACGAACAAGACAGGACATTGAACGAAAGAGAGGTCTCAAACGAAAAAGAGCAGCGAGAACCGAAAGAAGACTTCGAACGAAAGTCAGCCGGAGTCCAACGACAGGGAGAGGTTTCGAACGAATGAGAGGAGCCGAAGGAACAAGACAGGACTTGAACGCAAGAGAGCTCTCAAACGAAAAAAGAGCAGAGAGAAACGAAAGAAGACTTCGAACGAAAGCCACTTGAACGAAAGAGACGTCTCAAACGCAAAGAAAGCAAAGAGAAACGAAAGAAGACTTCGAACGAAAGTCAGCAGGAGTCCAACGAGAGAGAGAGGATTTCAAACGAATGAGAGGAGTCGAACGAACAAGGCAGGACTTGAACGAAAGAGAGGTCTCAAACGAAAAAAGAGCAGAGAGAAACGAAAGAATTACTTCGAACGAAAGTCAGCAGGAGTCCAACGAAAGAGAGAGGTTGCAAACGAATGTGAGGAGTCGAACGAAACAAGACAGGGCTTGAACGAAAGAGAGGCCATGAAAAGAGCGGGCCTGAACAAAAGAAAAAAAAGAGGCATTAGAGAAACGAAAGAAGACTTCGAACGAAAGTCAGCAGGAGTCCAACGAGAGAGAGAGGATTTCAAACGAATGAGAGGAGTCGAACGAACAAGGCAGGACTTGAACGAAAGAGAGGTCTCAAACGAAAAAAGAGCAGAGAGAAACGAAAGAATTACTTCGAACGAAAGTCAGCAGGAGTCCAACGAAAGAGAGAGGTTGCAAACGAATGTGAGGAGTCGAACGAAACAAGACAGGGCTTGAACGAAAGAGAGAGAGAGAGAGAGGATTTCAAACGAATGAAAGGAGTCGAACGAACAAGATAGGACTTGAACGAAAGAGAGGCCTGAAACGAAAAAAGAGCAGAGAGAAACGAAAGAAGGACTTCAAACGAAAGCCAGCAGGAGTCCAACGAAAGAGAGCGGTTGCAAACGAATGAGAGGAGTCGAACGAACAAGACAGGACTTGAACGAAAGAGAGGCCTGAAACGAAACAAGAGCAGAGAGAAACGAAAGAAGGACTTCGAACGAAAGCCAGCAGGAGTCCAACGAAAGAGAGAGGTTGCAAACGAATGAGAGGAGTCGAACGAACAAGACAGGACTTGAACGAAAGAGAGGTCTCAAACGAAAAAAGAGCAGAGAGAAACGAAAGAAGACTTCGAACGAAAGTCAGCCGGAGTCCAACGAAAAGGAGAGGTTTCGAACGAATGAGAGGAGCCGAACGAACAAGACAGGACTTGAACGAAAGATAGCTCTCAAACGAAAACAGAGCAGAGAGAAACGAAAGAAGACTTCGAACGAAAGCCACTTGAACGAAAGAGACGTCTCAACTCAAACGAAAAAAGAGCAGAGAGAAACGAAAGAAGACTTCGAACGAAAGTCAGCAGGAGTCCAACGAGAGGAGGAGTCGAACGAACAAGAGAGGACTGGAACGAAAGAGAGGCCTGAAAAGAACAAAAAGAGCATAGAGAAACGAAAGAAAGACTTCCAACGAAAGTCAGCAGGAGTCCAACGAAAGAGAGAGGATTTCAAACGAATGAGAGGAGTCGAACGAACAAGGCAGGACTTGAACGAAAGAGAGGTCTCCTCATGCGAAAGAAGAGCATAGAGAAGCGAAAGAAGGACTTCCAACGAAAGTCAGCAGGAGTCCAACGAAAGTTAGGGAGAGGTTGCAAACGAATGAGAGGAGCCGAAAGAACAAGACAGGACTTGAAGGAAAGAGAGGCCTGAAACGAAAAAAAAAAGCAGAGAGAAACCATTGCACGCGGGTTCGGGTACACGCGCGCACCCTGAAAAGCGTCAAAGCCGCAAAGCCGCAAAGCCGCCATGGAACGCTCAAGCCGCAAAGCCGCAAAGCCCCCATGGAACGCGCAAGCCGCAAAGCTGCAAAGCCGCAAAGCCGCAAAGCTGCCATGGAACGCGCAAGCCGCAAAGCCGCAAAGCGGCAAAGCCGCAAAGCCGCAAAGCCGCCAAGCCGCCAAGCCGCCAAGCCGCCGAGCCGCAAGCTCTGCGACTCATGCGCCGCCTCCTGCGTTCATCGCCGCTGCGTTGCCACCGCCATGGATCGCTGAAGCCGCAAAGCCGCAAAGCCGCAAAGCCGCAAAGCTGCCATGGAACGCGCAAGCCGCAAAGCCGCAGAGCCGCAAAGCCGCAAAGCCGCAAGCTCTGAGACGCAGGCGCCGTCTCCTGTGTTCATCGCCGCTGTGTTGCCAGAGCATCAAGAAGCGTCAAAGAGCCGCAAACCGCCAAGGCGTCGAAGCACCACGAAGCGTCAAAGCGGCAAAGCTTCAAGAAGCGCCAAAGCGTCAAGAAGCGTCATTGCAAAGCTTCAAGAAGCGGCACAGCGCCGAAGCGTCAAAGAGCCGCCAACGAAAGGCTGGCTGTGCTTAGAAGGGGACGGGCTTGCTTACGGAAAGAGGTCTGCAACCAAAGGCTGGCTGTGTTTAGAAGGCGGGCTTGCATATTGCGAGACAATTCGTAGCGAATTCCGAAGAACAATGGCAGATGTTATGGCAACCCCCAAAAGATTGAAACGTAGCATTCGACTAAACGAATGGCAATTTTCCTCCCTATTTGGTTGAAAGATATTATCTACAATGTCCCCCCCGGTGTGATAGACAGTCCCGGCCTATGCGACACAGACCTTGCAAAAACAACTTTAAACAAGAACAAGAACAAGAACAGCAACAACAACCACAACCACAACAACCACAACCACAACAACCACAACCACAACCACAACAACAACCACAGCCACAACCACAACCACAACCACAACCAACAACAACAACAACAACAACAACAACAAGAACAAAAACAAGAACAACAACAATAGCAATAACAGGAACAAAAACAATAACAAGAACAACAACAACAACAACAAAAACAAAAACAACAACAACAACAACAACAACAACAACCACAACCAACAACAACAACAACAACAACAACAACAACAACAACAACAGCAACAACCAGAATAACAAGAATAAGAAGTGCTAATAAAAAACAAGAGCACAAACAACTATAACAACTTTAAAAACAAGAACAAAAACGAAGACCAGAACAAGAGAAATAATAGCAAGTTCTTGGAAGATCTGGATGCTACCCAAGAAGATCTTGTACTGAACTTTCAATCATCTTGTATGATTTTGGTTGCTATGGAGTAAGACTTTATCCTTTACATTCAATCATCTTGAGTGTTACGGTGTAAGATCGTGCCCTTGACATTCAATCATCTTGGACGCTGCGCTCGAAGCGCTTGTCCTTAACTTTGAACATCTTGGAAGATATGCTCTAAAATCTTGTCCATGAATTACAAACATCTTGGATGCTTCGCTGTAAGATCTTACCCTTAATTTTCAATCACCTTTGATGCTACGGTGTAAGATCGTGCCCTGAACTTTCAATCCTCTTGAATGCTACTGTGTAAGCCTTGTCCTTAACTTGCAAACATGTTGGATGATACGCCGTAAGGGGGTGTTGGATGGTACGCTGTAAGCTGTTGTCCTTAGCCTTCAAACATCTTGGATGCAAGCATGTAAGATCTTGTCCATAAATTACAAACATCATTGGTGCTTCGGCGTAAGATCTTGTGCTTTCAAACATCTTGGGCGCTACAGAGTCAGATCTTGTCCTTAACTTTCGATCATCCTTGATGCTACGCTGTCAGATCGCAGCCTGATCTTGCAATCATCTGGGATGCTACCGTGTAAGATTTTTTCCTTGACTTGTAAATCTTTGTTGCTACGAAGCAAGATCTTGTCCTTAACCTTCAAACATGTCGGATGCTACGCTCCAAGATTCTGTTTGTCTTGTCCCTAACCCTCAAACATGTTGGATGATACGCTGTAAGTTCTTGTCCTTGACGAACAAGAACAAGAACCAGAACAAGAGAAAGAACCATAACCACAAGATTAGAAACAAGAACCACAACATCAGCAACAACAACAGCAGCAGCAACAACAAGAACAAAAATAACAATAACAAAACACAATAGTTAAACAACAAGAGCAAGAACAGCGATAACAACATTAATAACAAGAACACGAACGAAAACGAGAACAAGAGAAATAATAACAAGTTCTTGGAAGATCTGGATGCTGCCCAAGAAGATCTTGTCCTGAACTCTCAAGCATCTTGTATGATTTTGGTTGCTATGGAGTAAGACTTTGTCCTTAACTTTCAATCATCTTGGGTGCTACGGTGTAAGATCGTGCCCTTGACATTCAATCATCTTGGATGCTACGCTCGAAGAGCTTGTCCTTAACTTTGAACATCTTGGAAGCTATGCCCTAAGACCTTGTTCTTGAATTACAAACATCTTGAATCTGGGATGCCACGCTGTAAGACCTTGCCCTTAATCTTCAAACACCTTTGATGCAACGGTGTCAGGTCTTGTCCTTAAGTTCTAAACATGCTTGATGCTACTTTGCAAGATCCTCTCCTTAACTTCCCAGCATCTTGGATGTTACGGTGCAAGATTCTGTCCTTAACTTTCAAACATGTTTGATGCTATGCTGAAAGGCCTTGTCCTTAACTTTCAATCATTATGGATTGTACGGTGTAAGATCTTGTCCTTAACTTTCAGCCATCTTGGATAACACGCTGTAAGACCTGTCCTTAACTTTCAATCATCTTGGGTGCTACGCTGTCAGGTCTTGTCCCCAACCTTCAGACATGTTGGATGATACGCTGCAAGTTCTCGTCCTTGCCTTACAAAAACAAAAGCCGCAACAGCAAAAGCAAGATTAAGACTCTGGTCAAGATGGAGATTTTTCCTTCAACCAATCTATTGATGGTCGGCTTCAAAACTCCGCAGGGCCTGGTTTATAAGATCTGCTATAGGTATGACGATGGAATTCAAACCTCCACCAGTTAGAATATACCCTTTTCATCAATGATGACATGCTCAATCAGCAAAGTTATAAGTTATAACACACTCAAAGATGTTATGACCCGCGAAACGGCGACTTACAAACCACGCTTGTTAATCACCTACTAAGGTAAACCATCATTAAACAACCCACAAAAATTACTAAACAGGTAGTCGTAAGTTCGCTGGCTGCAGGTGAGCGCTGGCCCTCAAATACAAACAATCTGGCCCTTTGTTTTTTTCTCCGAAACAGTTTTTATACCTATGTTTCAATCGGTGCTTGAAAAAAGTAAAATCTACAAAATCACTTTTTTTCCAAGATGGCATGTCTCAAAGAGCCGCAAAGTGCCAAAGCGTCACAGAGCCGCGAAGTCTCAAAGCGCCAAGAAGCGCCAAAGCGTCAAAGAGCCGCAAAGCGCCAAAGGGCCAAGAGGCACCAAAGCATCAAGAGCGCCAAGCGCCAAAGCGCCAAAGCGCCAAAGCGCCAAAGCGTCAAAGAGCCGCAAAGCGCCAAAGGGCCAAGAGGCACCAAAGCATCAAGAGCGCCAAGCGCCAAAGCGCCAAAGCGCCAAAGCGCCAAAGCATCCAAGCGTTCAGGCTTTGAGGCTTTGAGGCTTTGAGGCGTGAGGCGCCAAAGAGGCTTTGCAGCTTTGAGGCTTTGAGGCGTGAGGCGCCAGAGAGGCTTTGGAGCTTTGAGGCTTTGAGGCGTGAGGCGCCAAAGAGGCTTTGCAGCTTTGAGGCTTTGAAGCTTTGAGGCGCGAAGCGCCAAAGAGGCTTTGCAGCTTTGAGGCTTGGCAAACCTTAGCGGGCCTGATCCCCCATACTCTGAGAGAAACAGAGTATGGGGGATCAGGCCCGCTAAACATTGAAACGGAAGAAGGACTTCGATTGAAAGCCAGGAGGAGTCTAACGAAAGAGAGAGGTTGCAAACGAATGTGAGGAGTCGAACGAAACAAGACAGGGCTTGAACGAAAGAGGACAGGCTCTGACGGAAGAGGACAGACTCTGACGGAAGAAGGTGGGCTTCAACGGAAGAGGATAGACCCGAACGGAAGACTCTTAGCGGAAGACTCTTGTAACGGAAAGGATGGATCCGAACGGAACAGGACAGGCCGCTAGCCTAGCAGAAGAGAATAGACTCTAACGATCCCCCTTGGATTTTTTTAGGGGTACCTGTCCAACGTCAACGTTTGCGATTTTATCGTGGACGTTGGTGTCAGCAATTCTATAGAGATTTCATGTTGAAAACAGCATTGGGTACTAGTAAGCTAAGAGTCTTGTCACATCTGTGAGGGAACATCTACCAACAAGGCTATCAGATAAACATCATCATCATCATCATAAGTCATTGGAGGCCCGAGGCTATCAGATAAACATCATCATCATCATCGTCATCATCATCATCATTTGAGCCACGAAAAAACTTCAATGTATTGTTTATGTAAGGGAGTTATACTACATCACTTTCTGCGGTCGCGAAAGATCGCGAAAGTAATTTGCTTCGCGAAAGGTCGCGAAAGAGAAGTTTAAGATATTTCAAATTGTTTGTTTTGTTCAAGATGGCATGTCTTAGAGACGTTTCGAAGCTGACAGGCAACAAGAGGCTGAGAGGTGTCAAGAAGCTTAGAAGCGTTTAGAGGCTTAGAGGCGTTTAGAGGCTTCGAGGCGTTTAGTGGCTTCGAGGCGTTTGGAGGCTTAGAGGCGTTTAGAGCCTTAGAGGTGTCAAGAAGCTTAGAAGCGTTTAGAGGCTTAGAGGCTTAGAGACTTAGAGAGGCGTTTAGAGGCGTTTAGAGGCTTAGAGGCGTTTAGAGGCTTAGAGGCTTAGAGGCGTTTAGAGGCTTAGAGGCGTTTAGAGGCTTAGAGGCGTTAGAGGCTTAGAGGCTTAGAGGCTTAGAGGCGTTTAGAGGCGTTTAGAGGCTTAGAGGCGTTTAGAGGCTTAGAGGCGTTTAGAGGCTTAGAGGCGTTTAGAGACGTTTAGAGACGTTTAGAGGCTTAGGGGCGTTTAGAGGCTTAGAGGCGTTTAGAGGCGTTTAGAGGCTTAGAGGCGTTTAGAGGCTTAGAGGCTTAGAGGCGTTTAGAGGCTTAGAGGCTTAGAGGCGTTTAGAGGCTTAGAGACGTTTAGAGGCTTAGAGGCTTAGAGGCGTTTAGAGGCTTAGAGGCGTTTAGAGGCTTAGAGGCGTTTAGAGGCTTAGAGGCGTTTAGAGGCGTTTAGAGGCGTTTAGAGGCTTAGAGGCGTCTAGAGGCGTTTAGAGGCTTAGAGGCGTTTAGAGGCTTAGAGGCTTAGAGGCTTAGAGGCGTTTAGAGGCTTAGAGGCGTTTAGAGGCTTAGAGGCTTAGAGGCGAGGCTTTTTAGAGGCTTAGAGGCTTACGGGCTGCCTCCGGACATTAGAGACTTAGAGGCTTAGAGGCTTACAGGCTGCCTCCGGACATTAGAGGCTTAGAGGCTTAGAGGCTTACAGGCTGCCTCCAGACATTAGAGGCTTAGAGGCTTAGAGGCTTAGAGGCTTACAGGCTGCCTCCAGACATTAGAGGCTTAGAGGCTTAGAGGCTTAGAGGCTTACAGGCTGCCTCCAGACATTAGAGGCTTAGAGGCTTAGAGGCTGGCGACGAACTGGAACCCCCCCTCCCGCTACGATGAGTATATATATATAAATGATATGTTATATATATATATATGTATACATGTCCGCATGGAACCCCATTGAAAAGAACAACATACCATAGCAGACCATAGCTGTTGACCTGCTTTTTTTCCCCCCATTTCATGTCAGCTCGGTGAGGACTGGACCCTCCCAGATAAGCGCGCCCTGGACTGGGCTTACAACGCTATCCGCACCTTAGGCCGGGTGGAGAGCAGCCGGCCATGTCATGTCAAGAAGGCCCCAGTGTAAATCATGGTACGCTCCAGTAAATTATGTAAATTAACATAGGCCCTGAAAATCATTTTGAGTGGAAACTGACCTTCCATCCCCCTATTTGGCAGGGTCTATGTTAATTTGAAAGAGGGTAGATTAGATCCTATGCAAATGGATGATTTGATTGCTAGCAGGCAATGTTTGAAACATGGTATCAGAAAACCCGCTTCACGGAAACACGTTTTTTTGTTGGATTTGTCGGATGGGGAACATAGTTTCAGAGTCGTTTTGGATCACACATTCCCCCCAAAAAACAGTGTCAAATTGGGAGCTTGAAAGGAAACTTATGACAGAATGGACCAAAGGCAATATGTGTCCATGTATCTGTGTAATTATATGTGGACATTACCGATTTATCCATTCCCCCTGTTACTAAACGGTCCATCCCCAAATAATGAACACCTGGAGGAGTTTTTAGTATTAGGGGGTATTTAGTATTAGGGTGCGGAGCTTCCCCCTAATATTAAACTAAAAACCCTAATATAAAAAAAATAAAATTTTCTATTTCAATATCGATTAGATTTCCTTTTAAAATCAAAATTGAAATATTGCCAAGCTTTCCCCTACTTAAATTAAACATCTTAATATAAAATATGTTTGTTTTTTCTCGATCTTAAAAGACGGATCCTAATAAAAAACACCCCGCGATTGACTAGTTTTTATTATTAGGGGGTGAAACCCTGAAATGGAACCTTTATTTTTAATTTGTTTTCGGAAGGGGATCAATTGAAATCAAATTGGCCAGTCTGAAATTTCCCAAAATTAAACGCGGACCCATGCGGACCCTAGTTTTTGGCATTTGGGGTATGTTTAGTAAAAGGAGGAAGGGATTAACACACATATTGCAGTCAGTGAAGGGACAAAATTGCAAAGATATAGATAAAATAGCACGGATTGACATGCGCACACGCACACATACACACACACATATACATAATTCATGCTATAGAACAAGTGATATACTCTAGACTTTACATATGAACTTAACGATATAATTACGATATATATATATATACATACATATAGAGAGAGAGTTAACTTTTTTTTTTAAAAAAAACACATATTTACATCCTGTTTCACCATGTTTCCCCATGTTTCCCCATGTTTCCCCATGTTTCACTAGTCATATTCACTTCAAGATGCCCTGTCAGGTCAGGCGGCTGTGCCGGTGAACCTGCTGATGTTGGGCTCCAACCTGTCCAAGGGAGCAGATTTCAGAGCACTGCCCGTGGGCAGCGCGGCTTAAAAACGTTGACGCGGCAGGTGAAGCATCATAGGGTTAACAACAGGGTTTTTAACCATAATCTATAGGGGTTTTAACCATGATGTGGGAACTTCACCATCGATAGGGAACTAAACCATCATCTACAGTATAGGGTTTTGGAGCAATATGGGGCCTGTGGGGATAAACATTGATAAATGATGATTGGGTTGTCCACATTTTGGGGTGGGTGGATTCCCAAATCACCATGGTTTTCAATACTGAGTCATAGTCTCCTGACATGGATGATTTGGGGTACCCACATGACTTGGGAAACCTCCGTTTGACAGTTGCGGTGTAGGAGATCTAAGTTCTTTATCTTAATCACAATTGCCGCACCGGTATGCAAATGTAGACAACGATGGGGTGTGGACTGGGATATGATAAGGGGATGTAGCGGGCATCGATTTGTGAGATAGGAACCACACTACAAAGAAACGTTTTTCCAGAATGATCTGGATGATTTTAGTCATGATATTTTCCAGATATTCTTTCGGGCCGACCAAGGCGCACAAATCATGCATTGTGCACGGGGTGGATCAGTTGGTGCAATTTGTCATGCCACAAATGCAGCAGCCAAGGTATGGCCATTGGTTTGACTCTGACCAAGATGTTGCTGCAACCTGCGGTCGTCGCATTCTTCGTCTTCTGCGCAGCTTGGATTTCGGAATCACATCCTAGAAGATGGTTTGCGGTTGTCCCACACACCACTGATTCCCACAGCAGCTGGTTCCATCCAATCCAACCTTGGCCGGAGATTTTCGCAGATGGATGCCGCATTTGGTGAACTCAGATGATGGTTCAAAATCATCAAACATCATGAGCCATGGGGAACCATTTGGCTGTCCAGCGCTAAGCGCAGGTGTCCCGGCTGATGCCGGGACCCGTGCAAACGGGGAAGTGGTTGGTGGCCATTGTGGTGTCCTTGACCCCCACGGCCAACAACATCATGGTGCAGGCGGTCCATTGTGGTCCAGGGTCACTGCACTTTGGACTGGCAGCCGTCCAAACTATTCTAAGTTCACGTGCTGTTTTTTTTTTTCAACGGATTTTTTCGTGAGATGTATATAGATACGGTATCGGTATCTATATCTATATCTATATCTATCTATCTATCTAATCTATCTATCTATCTATCTATCTCTCTATCTCTCTATCTATCTATCTATCTGTCTATCTATCTATCTATCTATGTATCTATCTATCTATCTATCTATCTATATATATATTTGACGATACATAAATATATAGACCTAAGCATGAGTATCCCTACAATGCAATGGTGTATGGTTTAACCATCCTGGCAACAAGACGAGCAGGTGGAGGTGGGTGGCCAGGACAAGGTCGGCGACGGCGGGTCTGGCCATGTCCTTGACGTAGCTGACATAAGATCATAGGGTCTGGACCGTTGAAAGCATGCATATATACAGTTAAAAACATATACATATGTGAATATATACATACATATGTACACGCACACACACATACACACACACACATATATATATTCACATGTACACACACATATATATATGTGCGCATATATGTACTGTACATATGTATGCATACTCATGCACAAATGTTGACAAATATATGTGCATGTATGTAGTGCAATGTAATGCAATGCAATGCACTGCACTGTCATGTAATGTAATGCAATGTAATGTAATGTACTGTAATGTATGTATGTAATGTATGTGTGTAATGTATGTGTGTAATGTATGTATGCAATGTATGTATGTAATGTAGTGGTATGTATAACGGTATGTAACAGTATGTAATGCTAATGTGTTGGAATGTAATGATTAGTATGTAACGGTATGTTGTAATGGTATGTATGTTATTGTGCTACATTCTGTTGCCATGAATCATCACTCATTTCAGCATTAAGTGAGATTCAAGTGGTGCAGGCTCAGAGATGTTCAGACCTCTCGTGAGTTCCTAGAAACTGCCAAGAGGCACAGCTTTTTCTTTTCAACGAATCAGTAGTTCGGAGTAAGATTATCAAGCACAGTTGAAGACTCGAAGCCCTGCCCACGGCATGGTGGTTGTTTTCCTTGATTTTTGTGGGCAAGTGACCTTCGAGCTTCAGGCTGCTATGACGACGCTGATTTTTATCCAGTGCCTTGCGAGATTTTGGAAACCTTTCAGGGCATCCCTTGCTGCATGACTGGAAGGGAGTTTCAGATGTTCCAAAATAAAAAGGCACATTTGGCTGCCCCTATTGCAATGCAGATCCATTCCAAATGCCGTTAGTGATGCAAGATATGTAAAATTTAGCTACTGTATGAATTTCACATATGTGCTTCAACAGCTCAAGAGGAACAGGTATTGAACTGATTTCCGGTTGAACATGGTTGAACCATGACGAAAGATACAACATGATACAACGAATCAAGCCTCTCGGCGATGCAAAGTGGTTGCCCCCGAAGGGTTTGGCCATGTTTGGCCAGGTATTTGATGTCACCCATCCTGCTCACCATCTCACTGACAGCCACCAGCGCGCTAATGCCCCTTGGCGGCAGTTGGGAGGCTGAAGCATATGAAAAAAGATAAGCCAGATAAGCATTTCCTGCACTTTTTTTTGGGGGGGGTTCCAGATGTAGCTTGCCTTGAGCCGTTGAGCCCGGCTCTTGCCTCTGGAAGGGGGAAAAGCCTCCTAGAACATCAATAGGCGGTGGGTTTTGCACATTTTTGTTGGACATCATTGGACACCATGCTTCTTTGGCTGGGCACTCAGCTGCCCAGCCTTTGCATACATCATATGACCTCAGACCGAACCCTGGAATCATGTCTAGTAAGGGGAATCAGCCACAAATGGCATTATTTTGTGAAACATTATAACTTACCCACAGAGAGAGAGAGATATATATATATATATATTTATACACAGACAGATAGATGGATGGATGGATGGATAGATGGATGGATGGATAGATAGATAGATAATTAGATAAGATAAGACAGATAAGATAAGATAGATAAATAGATAGAGATAGATAGATAGATATAGATATATAGCTATAGCTATAGATATAGATATAAATTGTGCATGTGTTAATTTAGTGCTCAATGGAAATAGGGTAGCCGTCTTCCATTGGTGGAGCACCTTGCCCATTCGGCTCATGGTTCTAAGGCAAGTGGATGGCTTCCTTGGCCACGCAGCTTCCCCCGATTTCCATGCGCAGTTTGGAATTTGAGCCATGCGGCAGTGAATTCGGATGTAACCTCTGCAACCTGTACAGCAGAGCAAGGCCAGGGATGGAGAGACACATGTTGAAATGATGGACATTGAATGAAATTAGGATATATTTATTTGATGATGCATTAATTCATGGACATAACTTATGATTTGAAATGAATCCATCTTTTTTGGGGGAATACCCTATGATTTTTGATGAAGTTAGGATCTTTTTGGTCCCAATTTTTTGCAAGATCAAGAGGCTGTATCGAGGACCCTGGCGATCTTTCCCACCGGCTCCGCCCTGACCAGCAAGGATTTGGATTGTAATATATATATATATATATATCTATATATTTATATATATATATATTTGGTAGCGACCTTGACGGATGTCACTATAGATATCTATGGATGAAGGTTGATACATGTTGATACTGAGGAAACTATTTTCAGAAAAGGCCTTTGATTGGGTTTGAGATTGATACTGTACAATATTGACACCCTCTGGCAATTGAACATCTCCTGCTTTTAGACACTCGTATCACTCGTACATGAATTTTATCATTCCACATGTGTTTTGTTGAGCCACGTTTGATCACCAGAAGATCTGGTTAGTGGTAACTATCCCAAAATAGCATAACATAATATAACATAGCCTTATTTCAGGTTACTGAATTTGTCATTTACCCAGTGGCCCATTGATCCTCATTCGAGCAACAGGATGCGCCTCCGCAGCGATTCGATGGTCCTCAGAGCTGACTGCCCGGTGAAAGCTCATATATCGTCGCCGACCGGGCCGACCGTGACTTTGACTGGGCGTCTTGGCATGGATCGCAGCAAGATATACTGAAGCTTTATGATCTCTGATATCAAGCCGTTGAAAAAAACAGTTTATAAGAACCATACCCCAGCAATCCCCAGCATATGTATATATTGTATGGCGGTAAGCCCGGTAAGCTAATTCAAAAAACGTGTGTGTGTGTGAAACATCTGAAGAGATGTAAAACTTCAAACCGTTTTTTGATTTTCATGATTTTGCACATCGAATTTAACTTCTAGCAGGGGGGCAACCTCGTGAGCATAGCTGGTTGCCCAACGAAGAGGGCTATGCCACGACTGATATGGAGTCTGATCAACTCCACGTACCTGCTTCATTTCTTGGTTATGGGAAGTGGCTAACCCAATGACCACCATGCCGTTAGGAAGACCACGATTTGACTTAGTTTGAATGAGCTGCATCAGAACAATTTGATTCTTTTAGCAAGGAGATTGAAAGATTTTCTTCGCACAGTCTCTCACTCCTGGTCATCCAATTTCTCTCCTGTCAGGTTTAACTGGAGTGTTTTTGCGCGTAAGATGCGTTCCACATCAGAATTCGCAAAGATGTTTCTGAGCAAGTGTGTGATTCATGCTGGATTCGTCACGGTGGCATGAACTCTTCGGGGAATGCTTGTCTAAGCAAAGAATTGGCACTTTGAAACGACCTCTGAATTTACACTTTTGAATTAGTAATTCATTTGTCTAAGTAAAGTGATTTGCCGGCCATTTTTCGATTTTCACCCTGTCAAATGTCGTTGTGTAGTAAAGTGATTTGCCGGCCATTTTTTGATTTTCACCCTGTCGAATGTCGTTGTGTTAAACTACTGCCCGCTGTCCCAGGGACTCACCACTTTCACTGGAAAGACATCGCATAGCTTGAAGCCGCACCAACACTTCCTTTTTTCATCACTGCTCGAGAGTTTGACTGACATTTGCAACATGGAGATTCCAAGTCCCAGGACATGCTTTAGGTGTGGTTTTCTTTTTCTTGATGGTTTCTGGTGAGGTTCAATTGTGCACGTAATTCAGGGGTTGACGACGTAAGCCGTTTACAGGGTTGTGAAATGAAAGCCGAGGGCCTTTGAGCCTTATCACGAATCTTGCATGCCATGTGGATGCATCATTTTACATTAACTAGGTCCCCATTGGTCCCCTATCTCATGCGTGCTCCCTCTCTAGGTCAGGTTTGGGTCCTTTGCGTGCCGAGGTAGGTTTTGGCTCTCGCCTTGTAGGTTGTGTCAGGCGCTTCTGTCCGCCCCCCCTCCTCTGGTTGGTTTTTGGCCCGTCGTCCGTCCGCTTTTTCTTTTCCCTTGCCTTTTCAGGGATTGCCCGTTTCGGGCTAGGTGTGTTGGTGTTGGTGTTTTCTCTTTCCCTTTTCCTTTTTGCGTTCCCCCTCTTGTGTTCTGGTTGAGTAATTGTCATCTCATCTTCATCGTCATTTCATTTCCATTTTTTCTCTCATTTTCACCTTCATCTCATTCGTCGGGGCCTTAATTGCCCCGCGGCAGCGGGGCGTGTGTGTGAAACACCTGAAGAGATGTAAAACTTCTAACCATTTTTTTGATTTTCATGATTTTGCACATCGAATTTAACTTCTAGCAGGGGGGCAACCTCGTGAGCATAGCTGGTTGCCCAACGAAGAGGGCTATGCCACGACTGATATGGAGTCTGATCAACTCCACGTACCTGCTTCATTTCTTGGTTATGGGAAGTGGCTAACCCAATGACCACCATGCCGTTAGGAAGACCACGATTTGACTTAGTTTGAATGAGCTGCATCAGAACAATTTGATTCTTTTAGCAAGGAGATTGAAAGATTTTCTTCGCACAGTCTCTCACTCCTGGTCATCCAATTTCTCTCCTGTCAGGTTTAACTGGAGTGTTTTTGCACGTAAGATGCATTCCACATCAGAATTCGCAAAGATGTTTCTGAGCAAGTGTGTGTGTGTGTGCATGCATGTGCGACTAGTACATGCTAGACGGAGATGCATGGATGCGAACACGGTCACATACAATCACATACATTGTTACATAATTATAAGCATGCACGTGCACATACACATACACATACATATGCAGATACATATACATATACCTATACATAGACATATACATACACATCTACATAATATAATTAATTACATAAATCACATTTACTTCTACATCTGCCCGTGCATGTGCATGCACGTGTAAATGTAAATGTACATATGATACGTATGATACATATGCATATATATATATATACACACATGTAGGATGTAATGTAATGTAATGTCATGTCATGTCATTTCACTTCGAATATCGTAACGCAACGGAATGTTTTATCTCAGCAGTTGCCATACTGAAGTCGAAAAGATTGACGGATTGACGCTTGGTGGTTTCAATTTCAGCTCTCATTCCGGCCAATGCAGTGATGATTCTCACATATCACATATCCATCCCAATTTCACTTCTACATCTATATGCCACATTACCATACATTTCCCCAATCATTTTGGGGATGGCTCAACCACTCACTGGCCTTCCTGCACCTTTTCGTACAGGTTCCTGAGCAGAGTGTAGAGACGCTGAGGCCTTTGGTTTTGACTGCGCTTGGCGTAGCCGAGACTTGTTTGGAGCTGATGTTGGGATTGATCAAAATGATTGGATTTCCATTCACAAATCCCAGCTATTTTTGTTGTGATCAGAATGGTATTGGAATCCGTTTCCATGGATTTGTGAGATCGTTCTGGGGCCAGTCTTGCTGGTAAGATCCCAAACCTACTCCACCAGGCAGTTCATTTTTGTTGACGTAGAGGGGTTATGGGCAGAGGCTCGGAGTGAAGGAACCACAGATGTTGAGATGTTCCTTCAAGGCCTTCCCAGGACCCAGCATGGTGTTGTTGGGCAGCATATCATGTGGTGATACGACGCGCTAATCTTATGCCCTTTAATATTGAACATCCTGCAATGGAAGGCCCCATTGAGTATTGGATCTAATCTATTCCTCCAGAATCCGAATAAAATTCAAATTGGCATGCTAGTTGGGCATTGCACTTTCTTCAGTCAACAGGGAATGAGTCATGCTAGTATCGCTTCTCTGTTGGTGCACGCAGCCTTGAAAAAACTGCGGGAATTTGGGGGACCAGAAACAATGGGACATATCCTACCAAACATGAGCGAATTCATCAGCAAACTCAAACATAGAGAATCGCTAATGATAGTGCATGGTTGTTTCATTTGGCTTTCCATCCCCTTGAGTGAAAGGAACCGCCAAGCCAAGCACTCTGGAAAATCGTGAGCTCTCCCGACAGAAACATTGACAGCCCTGCTGTTGCCCAAGTGGGCAACTATACCGAAAACCATCCTGAACCCGCAAGTTCACACCCTAGCTGATATCAGCGCCCAGCTGCTCCAACAGCCCACTTTGACATATTTTTGTACAGCGTGCCTGCTGCGAATGGCTAAAATATAGTCGCAGCACTTGGCGCAAGATGATGAAATAGCCCATTTTGTCACCATTCGAATCCGATCCTTCTGGCTGGATATCACAGAATATTTTTTTTGGTATATGAATGTATTGTTCGTGTATATATTTGCATATTGTATAGCGTCATATTAGGCATGCATGAAGTACCGATCAGAATTTATGAATTTCTGCAGTATCGAAGTACACTGATCAGAATGCTCCTTTGATCTCCAGCAGTTGGATCCATCATTTTAGTGTGTAGCGGGTCGTTGTTTCAACGCCGCCGGGCTGCATCAATCATAGCTCTCGCACGCGTGTTGCGTGCGGGGTTGGTGCCACTGAGGGAAACGACTATGCAGCGGAAGTTGTACAGACCAGCTCCAGTGCTCACATGTCACATGGGTTGCTGCAACATTTCTCCAACATCTGATGATATCTGATCAACATTATCCCCCAGATCCCCCAGAGTTCGAATGGGTCAAGTCCAGAGTCCAGGTTGCAAAGGTCCAGTGGCTTTGTCGGCACCGGGAGGAAGGTTTTTATCCGCCGTGCACCCATAGATTGTGTGCAGAGGGTCTTTACCGGCCGTTCCCAGATAGCGGAAGAAAAGTGGAAGGACCGGGGTGGCAACTGGAGGAATGCACACATATATCACTGAACATTTACCTTTCTTGGGTCTTCAAGATTGGCGTTCAGAAGTTTGGTTATTGATGGTTCTTGGCCATTTGTATTGATCAAATGTGTTTCGGTCAATCCTGACTTTTATATACCCCACACCCAGTTGAAAAGGCACAGTCACTTTTTCTCGCGACAGTTTTTGGACATGTCTTGGTCTGCTGAGCGCAATGCAGGATGTCATGGGGGGGGCGCATTTCCCACACCTCTGATATTTGATACCCTCTGGTAATTTAACATAGCCATAGAAATTCACAATTTTCAATGGGTAAATCATCTGCAAACGGGACATTTCCACAGCAAATTTAGTGAAATGACCGGAGGGCCCGGAAGGTGAACAAGCACCTGCAGGCCTTTCAAAGTTGGATGGTTTCAGTGACCCTCCGGTGTCATTGTGGCTGGCTGAAAAGTCCCCAAACTAAATGGAGGTTTGTAGCTGGTAAAATCATCGAACTATATATATATGGGGAGGATCTTCCTTGGCCACGTTCCTTACAGGAGGGGAATGCAAATGGCGATGGAGACCTGGTTGAACAATCTGTTCCGCCATTTACTTCCTCCTTTTTTCTGCTGTAACTGAATGCCGAAATTATTCGATCCAGAACCAAGTCAGGGTTTCTGTGGAAGATTGTGGAAGTATTTGGCATCAGGGGGAAGGAATACTGAAATGGACCAGCCAATTGCGGGCCCATTGGTCCCAAATTTCTGGGTAAGCCTTTGTAAATGGGGATGTCTTTCTGTAAATCCCACATAGCTACTGTAAGTGCCACGTTATAGTAGCTATAGCTAGCCCATAAAAAGATAGACCCGTGAAATCCCACTACAATAGAGGTAAATATTCGTACATTTCGTGTTGGGCTTGCTATATCAGAGTTCCAAATTGGTTACATCGCAAATCGCTGGGCCAAAGAGTTGACCCTAGCATGGGGTAATTTCACAGTTTAGTTCGACGATTTTACCCATTAGGAATGGAGATTCTCCATAGCTATGTTTGATTACCAGAGGATAAATCCCAATAAATCCCATTATATTCCTATAACTCCCTATTGTTTCTGCTTAAAGCCCCAATTCTTTTTGGTTTCTACCGGTCAAAACCGTGCATTTTCACCCCAAGAGATGAGGCCTTGGCAAGGCTGGTGGCGGTGGTGGGATCTGCCATCGCTCTGCGGGAATTCTTTCTGCAGCTGCAGCGCTATGGAAAGCTGGTGGCGAGCAACCTGGGGGAGCGTGCCTTGGAGAAATGCCGAAACCTTGGGGATTTTGAGTCTGGGGGCTTCAAATATATGGAGTTATTGTTTTTCGTTATTGTTTTTCAGTGTTTTTCAAATGTACTTGGACATACTGGGGATGATTGGTTGAGATGACTATATAAAATTTCTCTGGATGGGTTAAAACCACCAACCAGTAGTTTTTTTTTGGTAATATGCAATGCATCTGATCTGTTCCACTCAGCACCAGCGCAATTGGCAAAAATGTATCACGACCTTGCCATAAAAGAGTATGTATGGCAATGTGAGCCAATTCAAGATAAGGGAGGACCTGTGGCTTTGATTCCGAAGACACTGCACCCCACCACTGCCAAGCAGTTCCGAGGCATTCTTTTGCTTCCAAGTGCTGGAAAACGCACACACGCAATTCTCCGCACACAAATCATGGAAAAATTGGAACCAGCCCGTGCACCAGGCCAGCTTGGGGGATTTCCAGGACAGCAGGTCATTTATGGCTCGCAAGCCATTCGTACCTTTGGCCACATTTGTGATGCTGCTGGACTCAGCTGCGCCATCCTGTTCCTGGACCTTGCCAGTGCCTTTCATCACCTCATACGTGAATGTGTTGTTGGTGCCTATGAGGGCAGTAATCTTGAACCAGTTCTAGAAGTTCTGCAACAGTCAGGCCATTCGCCAGCACACTTCCGTCAATATGCTAAGCTGCTTGGCATTTTGGCTGATATAGGCTTGGCTGAACCCATTGTCCGCCTCTTGAGGGACATTCATTTGAGCACCTGGTGCACCATTCATGAAAGATGGCTCCTTTGCACACATCGGGGCACGCGCCCAGGCAGCCCTTTAGCAGATATCATCTTTCACGCCTTAATGGCCAGAGTTGCACAAGAAATTGATGCCTGGATCCAGACACAACATGATTTTGTCCAGTTGCTCAATGAACTCCATGTGGAAGTACCTTCGATTCTCGGGGCAGATGATATAGCGATCCCACTGGCAGCACGCAGAGCTGATGAAATCATCCCACTCTTGCAGAAAACCTTACAGCAAGTACGGGGCATCCTGAAGTCCCTTGGGTTTACCCTCAATTTCTCGAAGGGTAAGACCAGTGCAGTTTTAACCTTGAAAGGAGCACAGGCCAGCGAGCTCCGCAAGCAATACCAACTGCACTCGCACCCAGGAGTGACCTGCCAATTTGACGATGGCACGTCTGAATGGCTGCACTTTGTGTCAGTTTATAGACACTTAGGCACACTGTTCGCCTCAAAACATGACTTGCATTGTGAGCTGAAATCGCGCGTGGGCATTGCCAAAGCAGCATTCGCTCAATTAGCCAAGCCTGTCTTGACAAACAAACATTTGCCGCGTCGATTGCGGCTGCAACTCTTTCAGTCACTTGTCGCCACAAAGCTTTACTTTGGACTTGGCGCTTGGATCGCCCCAAATCCTAAACACCTGCAATATGTGCAGAATGCTCTGGTAGGCATGCTGAAGCGAGTTTTGCGCCTTGGACAGAATCACTTGTCGGCCGAGCGTGTTTTTGTGTTGGCCCAAACTGCTGATGTCCGATCGCGTTTGGCAATTGAGCGGTTGTTATATGCGCAGCGCCTCTTTCGCACTGGGCCACCATTTTTGCACCACCTGATCCATCAAGAATTTGATCGTTGCAACAATTCATGGCTCCATGGGTTGAAGGCTGACCTGGAATGGATGGAACAAGTGAATCCAAACTGCCTGCCTTCTGATTGGAGTACCGATATGACAGCACTATTTGACTGGTGGCATGATTCCCCAACCACTTGGATTCGTGCTGTCAAGCGTACTTGGAACTTGCATTTGGCACAGAATGCTATCATTGCAGATGCCAAGTTTTTGCATGCTGGTGTCTTTCAAAACCTCAAGTTGGCCGGAGCCACCTTTGACTCACCCCTGGATGAACTCAATGAGTGGGAAGAGAGCCACGAGTGTTTCTGCGGCCTTTCATTCACCACGAAGCGGGGGTTGTTGGCACATCAGCGCAAAGCGCATGGATTGTTTTCCGCCGAACGACAGTTTTTGCAAGGTTGTACGTGCCTGCACTGCGGGAAGTTCCTCTGGTCGACCCAGAGGCTACAGCAGCACCTGGCCTACATTCCCAAGGCACTTGGATATAATCCATGCTTTCATGCCTTGCAAGCACAAGACAGACAAGTGACATATTCCCGCGACGACCCTGGAGCGTCTTCAGCGTTTGCTGGCTTGCATCGGCGTGAATGTTTGCAAACTGAAGGGCCCATGGTTTGC